AAATTAAAAAATGCGGTTTCTCCTAAAAGGGGAATCATAGTCGATTCACTAATTGAATTAATTGCTTTATTTCAGGAGAAGTCCTAATTATTTACATGGCCAGAAAAGAATATTTTTTTAATGTGCCATAGCGATTCCTTAATATCAAAGTTGGATAAAAACAATTATTTATAAACATATGATGATCATAGTTTTAGTGCTTATATGATTTATAGTAATGGAATAAGCAAGACTCAAGTAGAAGGCAATAGCGTTTTAGAATTTATTACTCAAATAAATTGAAAAAAATAATTGGAAATATCTGGCAAGTTTAGTAGCAATTAAATATAAATAGTTGTTTAACACTTTGTAAATGCCACCCTCAAGTTTAGGAAGTAGGGTATTAGAATGAATTTCATATTAAAATGTTTTATAACTATACTTATTTCTTTATCTATAATATCCAGGATTAAACCGTTAAGATATTTGTAGGTCTCATATGACAATTTTTTATTTATACTGTGGAGGATTTCTATTAATATTCAACAAAATATTGTAAGGAAATTAGATGCAAATTTTTAATTAGTGCCAATAAGAAACTACGAATTTATATAATAGAAGACTTTATGGCAATTCAAGAATTTCTAATAGAAGACCAAGAACTACACAAAATAAGTGATTTTAAGTAAGTCCCCTTCATCAAAGCTGATAAGTATTTCTCCTCTGTTAAGATTTCAGAAAAGTGCATTTTCATTATCAGCAAACAAGATATTATAATCTTTTTCAGAACATTCTAAATAAATTTTATAATCTCTTCATCATCTTCATTGTTTTCAGGTATCAAAAATCTCCTTCAAAAATAACATTTTTCATTCTCAATTTACATTTTGTGCGTTACTGTTCAAAAAAATCAAATAGAATATTCAAAAATATTGCTTTAACTATGAGGCAAAAATTTCGATAAATTTATATTTTAGATAACTTTCATCTGCAGCAATAGGAATAATATAATTATCTACCAAGAATTGTATATAAAATAAAGGTAAAAATTTTTATGTCTATAAATTAATTGTTTAGTAATGGAATTCTTTATTAAATATATTAATTCTAACTCAGAATAGGATTCCACTTTACTTTTTTAAAACTTTTATTGTCTCATAAATAGAAAGATAACAAAATTTAATATTGTAGAAATCAACGAATATATCAATTAAGCTATTATTAATAGTTTTTCTTTCAATAAAGAATCATTATTCTAAATAGGTTAAAAATTAAGAAAATGAATGCTATGTTAAATTTTGATTTTATTTATTTTTATCTAAGATCTTTATGATTTTAATTCAAATTGAACTTGTTTAAAAGACAATGCACTTTATGATTATTTAGGTTGTTAGAATTAATATATCCAAATATAGCTGGAAAAAATCTTAGATCATTAAGAGTTTATCCTTTGTCTGGATTATTAGAATCAAATTGGATTTCCTTATAAACTTCCTGAAATTTACTCTTTTGTTTAACTAAATTTTGAGATTTTTTTTTCATGAGTTGAAAATTTTTGATCCATTATTTCCGTTATTAATTGTTATTAACCTGACTAAGTAGAGTTAAGGAAATTAATTTCCATCAGAAAGCAGTTGGAGTTTCACAAAGCTTAATTTGTTGATAATTATAAAATTTTATAGTCTTAGAAAACTCAAACCATTTGTTATTTAATTGAGCATAAATAATAAATTGTAAATATAATTAATGATACCCTCATTCTAATTTATTTTAATACTAGTGATAACTTATTTTACTTATTCCCAATAACCTATGATTTAAAACCATCCAAATTTTCAACCTTTCATTAATATTGTCTTACTGTATAACCTTGAGTAGCATTAATAATTAAGTTAAAGGGATCGGTTTTCAGAGAACAGACAAGTGTAGTAAATAGAGATGCAGTTCTCAGATATTTGAGGAAGATGTTGAAAAATTTGTTAATAAAGTAAAAAATAGTTTGAAAAAGATATTTCGAGAGATTGGTGTAATTGATGAATAAATGCCTTTCCCATTAAAGAAGTGAAATACCTTGAGTTAAAATCACAGAATTATTGGATTAAAATCAATTACTCTAAACCTCTTTGGTTCAAAATTGATAACCAAATTATTTTTAAATTTTGTTCATAAACAAAACCTGCTAGATTGTAGTGTAAGCTGCAAATTTTGGATAATCAAGCTTTTATGCCCAATTGTTAGATCAAACATTGGGGCATATCTTAAAAATACTATATTCATTGAATTTATTTTCGAATAAAATGTAGAAAAAATTGAAAGCTTTAAATTAATCATGAAAACATCCTAAATGAATACTAGCACTGTAAACGTAATATAATTATTATTTTCTAGCAGTATTTATCATAAATTATCATTATGAAAGCTCTATCTCTTTAAAGAGAAGTGTACAATCTAAGTAAAATGAAATTTAACAGAGCCAACTGGAAGGTGATGTACACAACTCGGTAAGGTTTAAATATGCTGTATTCTAGTAAAAAGGAAATAAGTTTTAACTTGAAAAATATAAATCGAAAGGAACCTCATTCGTACTTGAGATGAGTGTATTAGAAAGGAATCATAAGAAATGTTATCTTACATTTTAAAAAAAGGAATTAAGAATTTGATCGATTGATATTATGGTGTTTCATAATTTGGCGAGTTATCCATTTATGTAATCCTTATTATTTGATCCTTGGCGTAGAGCATCCAAATAAAATTGTTTAGCTTCTTCTTTCTACTGCAATTCAAATAATGAATCAGCTATATAAATATTTAATTTAAAAAGGTTTACCTTTTCTTTATAGTCTTACAGGATTAATGCAAATAGAAAGAGCTTAATTATAGCATTGAATCGCATCCTTATATTTCTTTAATTTATGTAATGCCAAGCCTAAATTATAAAATGGTTTACCTTTATTACTCCATGCTAAATCCAATTTAGGATTTATGGAAATAGCTTTATCGTAACACTCAATTGCTTCCT